ACAAAATTCCGAAGGTATAGGAAACAATGAGATCGAAAGTAATATAAAAATATAATAGAAAAAAGAAACGAAGATGAATAATTACTTTTATTTAATGTATTTCTACTACTATTTTTATTCTTCTTTTTTTCATATTATTCTTATTTCTTAATAATTATAAAATTATCTATCATTATATTATTTTTAGCAAGAGAAAATTGAACATTTTTTTCTTGAAATAAAATAGCTTATTGTTGATTCCCAAATGTATTACATATCTTCTCAATATTGCATGATATTTATTACTAATTACCAATCATGTTATAATTGACGTTTTCGAAGAAAAATAATTTCTTCGTTTATGCACATTTGAAAGAGTAAATTAAATCTGTTTTTCCACTCCGTCTTTCACTAATTGCAGATAAACATCAGTTATTATTTCAATTTCAATTAGAACTTTTTATTAAAAAAATATTTGTAGAGGGTTAACAACCCTATCTACCTTTCCCCCCTTTCTCTCTTTTTCTTCATTTATCATATCGCTCTCTTTTCGCACTAATTAATATCATTTTTTAACAGCTCTATCTACTCCCTCCCTCCTTTCTTTCTCTCTCTCTCTTTCTTTTCATTCATCTTATCGCTCTCTTTTCGCACCGATTAATATCATTTTTTGATTATATGAAAGTATGAGAATATAAAGTTTCATTTTCCGATCCTTTTTCTTTCAATAGAAGCGACCAGGGAGTAAACAACTCCGTTTAATCCCAAGACGGGATTCTTATCGCTTCTTTTATGCATACTTTGTAGACCTCGTTAGCGCTTTCTACGCCCTACGTACTTTTTCAACTACTTACTATTTAACGGGGCATTTTTTAATTTAGCAAGCGCATACGGAGCGTCCGCGGATGAAACACTCTACGTGGATATTAAAATTCCTTCGAGATTCTTTCCAACTTTACCGCTCTTTCTTACAGAAAAGAGCTCCGCGGAAAAGTAGTTTAACATTCTTCGACAGTAAGCAGCGACTATCTATACATGTTTATTGACTCTATATATACATCCTTTTGCACCCTTTTTCATAAATGAATCTTATAGCAGTTATTTATGAGCAAAGATCATCACTTATCTATCGGCCATCCTCAAAACGTTACATTGAATAGAAATCGCATCACATGCTATAGAAAAGTTTTCAATTTTTAAATTCTGTGTTGTATATGTAATATTAGATAATAGTGTTCTAAACAAAACAAAATTATAAATTAAAAGAGCGATACATTTCTAACAGAAAAATAGTTGCTTAACTGCTATATTAACAATCTACATAACAAAAACATATAAATTAAAAATATAAATTAAAAATATAAATTAAAAATATAAATTATAGGTTTACGTTTTTCGATCAATTGTATAAATGTGAAAAATAGATATACACATTACATTTATTTTTGTTGATATCATGATTTGGAAATGTATAAGATCATCAGGCAATTAATGAAGAAGTAAAAAAAGAGCTTAATGTATGTGATGAATATGTTACTATACTTGTAAATATCAAATTCGATATATATTAAGAAAATTGACTTTGAAAGATTTAGAGTGAGCTTAGAAAATCTCACTCTCTCAAGAAATTTAAAATAATAACTCGTAACAATGTTAAGCTTTTAGCTAGCATAATGTCATATTTTCAGTATTGATTTTGGAAAATTCGATTTTGAAGATACATTTAAATGAGATTTTATCAATCCGCGAGTTCGTTTTTGTCAGTTGAGACATGCAGTGGAATAGGTGTCATTTTTCAACACGAATATGATATGCACAAGTGCGAAACACATAAACTTTTTTAGTCCGCATTTGGAGTCCCAATTTTTTCTCTATTTTCTTGTTCTAACGAAAAACAGGTGAAGTAATCTTAGTAATCGACTGAATCAAAAGTTTCTCTGAATGAGAAGGAAACGGATCTGCGTAAATTCGTGTACGTACGCGTGAAGGTGAGAAGAACGTGACGGGAACAGTGGTAACAGGAAAGTACAGGAAATCGTGCTGTTTCGATGCTATTTCCATGGAAATTGAGCACTTCGAGTGAGCCCGCTGGGCTCTCTAGTCGCTTTTCGATGTCTCGATTCACGGCGCGCTATAGAGCACGGAAAAAAGCTGGAAGAGAGCGAATTATCAGACTTCAATAGCGAATGAAAGAACAACTGAGAGGATCGGTTTATTATTTTGAGGCAAGGTAGGAAATTAAAAGGTACAAACAATGTACAATGATATAAAATGCTCTTTCTTTTATTATCGGAGTGTGATAATTCGCTTTCTTTCTTAATATACATATATATTTCTAATTTACATCTATAATTAGATGTAGAATTTTGTCTAGATATTAAATTATTTGAAATAAGTTTTAAATATTAGACAAATATTAAATATAATGAGAATAAAAAATGAAAAAAGCTGCTGTGAAAATTATAAGCTAATTTTGAATTTTGAAACATTCCATTATGGATTCTTTAATTAGTTCAAACTTTTCTTTAACAATAGAAAATATTACGATTTTTTTAGATATCCTACATATCCTACATCGTTATCTCACATTATTTCGTTCTGTTAATACACTCGACTTTTAACTTCAGCCTTCTCATTTAATTAACAAACACGCGGAGAAAACTACTGTTGGCAGAGCATATTTGGCATTGCCCGGGAAAAGGGAAGAAATAATACAGCGACAATCAGAAAAAAACACACGACAAAAAACGAAGATACTGAAGCGTAAATTGAAACATATGTAGCCGCAGCCGTTTTGAAATAATTACGAACAACGCCGACGGCATTTGTTTCAAACAAAAAGGTGTACACAGCACGTGTATCTTTTTGTTTTTTAAACCAAAACCGAAATATTTAGTTTTTGCGACCAATAATTTTTGTTGAATTTGCGATAGCGATACAGGTAAAATATCACGATCACCATTCCATGATACATTAGTTTCAGTATTATTGAACTCTTTCAAAGCGTTAAAAAAAAGACCTTTTAATTCTTTTACTTACTCCGTATCCATTTATATTTCCATATTTTTTAGCTGTATGTATATATATTATATATATTTTTATGCATCCATTAATTTTTATCAATGTACATGGTTTTCCAAAAGGCATATCGATTTGCTAGTTTTGGCAAAAATCGTGTTATATGTAATAGCGCATAATTTTGAGAGAGGCCATTTCGAAAATATCGTAACGTATTCTGCAATGAAATGCAATTCGAATTTGACGAGACCGATGAAATGATTTTACTGATCAATCGCCACACACGTCCGCCCGCGCGTGAGTATGTATGTGTGTGCATTTTCAATGGATCACATGCGATAGCTCTCTTTGAACTTGCAATCTCTTTCATTTAGGCTGTTTCGCTGGTCTTTTTTTTAGTCCTTTTAACGCTGATACTCCTTTGGTACGATTTTGCACGATCGAGCATCAGTAATATTGAAATTTGTCGGCAATACGATCGAAGCGAGCAATGAAGCCACTTTTTGATCGAGAATCATTGAATAAGCATAAAAGGAATGTGATATTAAAAATCGAACATTTACTTGTCGATTTCTCACGAAATATATTTGAATCGATTACTTAATAAACAAATTAAACGCCTCTTGAAATTCGGTTCGAGGCGATTCTTGTCACTTGGCATATTATCACTGTGAGTGATAAAAAATTATTTACATCTTTGTAAATATTTTTGAGCATCGTAATCTTCAAATGTTTACTCTCTTCTGTGGTATACTTTATAATAACGCACAGAATTCTCTCACAGATCCCTTCCGAATAATCGATGCGATGGCGATGGTTCGAGAGAAAATCGTGAATCAGCAGGCATGTATTGTAGAATGCCGCGACCGATTAGCTTTTATCCCGCGAAAACGCTTATCCGATAACTATTGTTTGCACGCTTCCATTTACGAGGTGAATTTTCCATGCCGCGGTTTGTGCCGTTTATCGGCCGTAACCGTCGCCGATGCCGTCTAATAAATATCACTGGTCGAGCGATTTTATTTTAGTATCTCTAACGTTCTCCCTCCTTCATCGTGATCGGCGTTATCGACCATACCAGCATGTGACCGCTGCGAGCTTAATTGGTTAACTTTCCAAAATCAGCGAAATTTAAATAGTGTAATCAACGATATTATATTAGTTAGTTATATTAGTTAGTTATTTATTGAAATTTAGAATTAAATAAAAAATAGGTATATTGGTTGAGAGACATATAGAGATGTCATTGATTAATATCAGATACATTGTATTTTATTATCTTAACATTTTTTTTGACTATTTAGAAATCAAAGATCTAATTTAGTTATTAATATTAATATTATTAAAATTTGTATTAGTAAATTATTATTAACCCAGAATTAGAAGACATAAAATTGCTATAACTATCAATCAAATGTGAATTATTTTAAACAAGAATTTAAGTAGAAATAAACATTGAGCGATGAAATGTGAGTTACGCATTTAGTGAAAATTTCTTGAATACCTTACATGTCAATATGACAAAATACTTTTTACAGAAAAAGTATGGTGCGTGTATATGACCAGCGAATATTTATTAGAAAGTCAAAGCCATTGACATGTTTTCTGCAGTATAAAAATGATATGCAACAAGATTGTGTCATAAGACATAGAAGACGCAGGGTACGGCAAGAATATAGAAGCAAGAAGAAAATTTTCAACTCCGAGAAGGAAGCTTTATTTTTCCTTCGTATGGAAACGAAAGCGGAAATTCGCGTTTAAGAAAATTTTATGCGAATTGAAAAATTCAACCCTTTTCCTCGTCGCGAAGAATATCACGAGTTTGGAAATCGATGGCGATTAGAAGAGGGGATATCCATTCATATTGTTGCCATTACGTTCATGAATTGTGTTTCTCGAAAAAGACCTATCTATAGACCTTTTAAAGTGAATTTTTTATTTGTGAAAGATGGACGTAAGGATGTTTGTTACAACGTGATATTTAATAATATATTGATACTGACTGTTCGCCTCAGCACGGTCCTGACGGTTTCCACGTCCTGTCGTGTAGGCCAACGAGCGTAGACAACGCCAGTGAGCAGGACGACGAACACTCCGATCCAGATAGTCCATGCCAGGACATTGCGCGTTCTGGCGAGCAATTTACGCGCAGTTCTCGTCGAGATCACCTCTTGTGTCGGTATCTCAAGCTTCTGCGCTCGCCTCAGTATATCCTGGAGTCGCTTCTTGGCCTGCTCCACGTCCGGCACTCCCATCGTCTTTAGCCTTATCTTTATCCGCCCGTTCTCTCGTTTACACTACGTTGATTCCGAGTCCCGTAGGACCGCGTCTTCGCGCGTAGAGCAGCTGTCGACGGCTCACGATGGAGACATTAAGGGTTGACGAGATCGTAAGATTGTCTCATATAAAGCCCTCCTCGTTGTAATGGTACGTTCTCGATTTTCTGCAAAATTTATTTCATATTCTGATTTTTCTGATTCCGAGGATTACTATTACTTTTGAAATATTACAATAAATATGTGCAGCGAAGTGTATCACATAGCCTTGCTCGTCCGCGAAGTCCTTCTCTTAGCGTGTAACTTTCCTGATTTCCCTGACAATTTCGCGCATAACAAAATTATTTCTATCCTATAACGCAAATATTATTCGATATCTTTCTTTAATGTTTACTTAATTTAAAATTCATTAAAATTGAAAGAGAACAGTTCTAATAGTTTCTGCCTCCTATTTCCAATCTTCATAATCTCACTCAGTTCTCACTCAGTAAACATACGTGAGCAATCTAATATTAAACGAATTGGCATTTAATCTCTACAAAGGAAGAGTTTTGAAAATACTGACCTGTTTGGCAGGCCTCTGCTTCTAACTCATTCCCCCGATTACGTCCTAATCGATTCTGGAATTATTCCCGCCGCACCATGGTAATTACCTAATAATTCTGGGATCGATTCCCCTTCCCCTCTCTATCTCGACAGAAATGATGCACGCGGAAACTCGTCCCTAATTTCCTCCTATGTGAAAGTTCGACCTAGTTTTGCTGCGAGCACCAGGATTATAAGGCTCGTACATGTGTCAGGCACGCTAACGATTTGACGCGCGATGCATCACATTCAATAAGTTGTCTTCAAGAAGTTCAATTTTTAATTTTATATATATAACAAAAAGCGAGAGCAATTTAATTAACAGCATGAATGGCTAAACTCAAAGGATTTCGAAGGAAAATATAATTTGTTACCATAGTTCTATACAGAGTTCATTTTATTTTTGGATATTTTTGAATTAATTAACTTGAGTCTATTTTTTAGTTGTGTAATTCAATTGAATCGGACAAATTATTTTTTCAAAACTTTTCTATATAATAATATTAATTTATTTCCATTATTTGTTTGAGTTAAAGCATCTTTCAGATTAAAATCAGTAATAAGAATTCAATAAGTTTTACATTTACTTGAATATATTGTATAAGATTAATTCTATAATATTGACTGTTATTCTATATATTACTATTATTTAATATACTAAGCTCTCTATCATCTCCAAGGTATTTAAGGCATCGAGAATTTTATTTCTTTATCAAGCCCCTTTATTTCTCCTTCTTTGAATTATATTCAGACTCTATTCTACGAATGAACGAGATCGCATTTTCGGATATCTCGAGAGTTTCCGGTCGTGAGAACTTCTTCGTTAGTTTCTTATAAATTTTCTAAACGGTACTCCGTTGGTCTTGTCCGGATTACGTCGCGACGCAGCCAAAAAATCTTTTGTGAATCTTCCGGGAAAACTTTCGTGCCCCTTTGGCCGCGCCCTGAGGGCGGCACGGAGGCTGAAAGAGAGCGGTTTATCTTCTGAAAGAAGCTTCCGCGTGTTTGAGGGGAAGAAAATACCCCTTCGATCAAACTATAGCGACGAGCCGCTAGAGAGCACTAGGCCAGTGATTCTCCATCATCTTCCTCTTCGCCAAGACGTCGATCATTTATCACACGCGCGTTCAACATTAATCAAACGCTTTTGTACCGGTAGAGGAATCTCTAGAATTCATGATACTAATATAGGAATTCGACTAGATTCGAAATTAACCGCAAAACGTTTAAAATTACAAATCTTTTACAATTATTATTCTGCCTTGTAAAATGAAGGCTTATTATTCTTGATAAATTCAATGTCGAGATACTTCCTTCAAAATAAAAAATTGACAAAGAGTTACAATATAAATATAATAGAGGGATTCAATTTTTCGAATAGACTTTAACAAAAATTTAACTTGAAATTTAATTACAAAATGTTTAATGTTTTAAATACTAATAGTTGTTAGAAATACTAAACTTTTTGTCAGTTCGTTTATTTAGAAAATATTAACTTTATTTTAAATTATCTGTTATTAATAATTAATTAATCTGGATTAATAATTAAAGATCTTATATATTGTACATATTCTGCAACTATTTCTACAATGCCTTAGGGAATGTTGTTTCAAGAGGAGCTTCGACAGTATTCTATTCCATTCTAAATACAATTACAATATAGATACTTGCAATACTAGCGATAGCATTGGGTTTCGAGCTATCGAATTGATGTTTTCGATATCCGATTCCCTCTTTGCGGTACAATGAATTTTTGCGTTTGTGGGTAACAAACTACTTGTTCAAATTGTTTTGTCTTTCTTAAGTTTCTGTTTCTTTAATTCTTTTCTTTCGACTTCTCGAGTTCATTTTAGTTTTTACTGGAACTTTTAAACCCCACTAGAAATAAACGTTTTTCTAATCAATTACAAACAAATTAAAAAATTGTAAAAACTGCGTGACAAATAATTTTTTTAAATATTTTTCAAATTAATTTTATTTTTAAAAACTTGTAATTTTTGATAGAAAAATCTAAAAACGGAATAGCAGCCAATATAACATTCATTGAAAAAAAATCTCTGAGTTAGTTGGCCAAATTAACTATTACACGAGGAAAATTTTAACATGTTCACAGAGATTCTTGATGAGAGGGATAATGTGAAATATAAAGAATTTATATGTATATACTCTCTTTCTCTCTCTCTCTCTCTCTCTCTCTCTCTCTTGGCAAGTAGTAATACCGCACAGTAAGCAGCGAATCCGTTTTGTGCTCTCATGCGGAATAACTCATTTGACGTTAGCTAAACACGATGAACTAGATTCCGAGAGACGCGTGTGGGATATCGCCAACTAACGTCTACGAGTCCGAGATTGTCTCGGCAAACACGCTCGCTAATTCATAATCTCTCCGGAGACCGTTCTGGAGACGAAGATGCGCCACACTCGATTACACCTGAGGAGAATCCCTTCGCAGGGAATCCTATTCCGACGAAATTACAGAAATCTTCTGCGACGAATACGGAAAACGTGTTAATTAAACTCAGTCGCTTGGTATCAACAATTTTGCGAGCAGATGTTTAAATAAAGTGTTCGAGCATAGCGGATGCTGTATTATTTATGTGTTAAAAGTTGAGAGTTTAAGGCGGAGTTTGATTCCTCTTTGATGGGAATATACACAATAATTACTGATACAAATATCGTAAAACAGCAAAAAATATCATTATATATAGCAATATAATCAAACGTTTGGATTAAATATAAACATTAATCGCTTTATATAAAACCGATCGCAATTACAGATATTAATTAATTTTGTAGATATATTTTTATCGTTTGCGTTTACGAGCGTTTGTCACGTTTTCTCTTTTTCACTGTTTTAATTACGATTCGAATAATGAGGTCACAAAGTACAGAAATAAGTTCCGCATATTTTCTCGTCAGGATTTGTTGGAAATTGTATTGTAATGATATCGCATTTCTGAAGTTCAGAGAGCAATCATATATGATTGTATCTGAAGCATGCTGTTCGACATCAAACCTTCTATCTAATTGCAGTGCTCTTCTTAGGTCAAAGACAAGTCATTCGAGCTGAAGATATTTCTTTCTGCATGATAAGCAAAGCTTGTTTCGCGAACGTTTTGAGTTTCATTTATTTTAGCAAAAATATACTATTCAAGTTATTTTATTAAAAAATTATATTTAAAAGTAAAAATTATTAAAATAAATTTTTTTATTCAAAATAAAATAAAGTTTTAGAATTAAAATAAATTTTACTCGCGTAATCTATTTATGATATATTATATATCCGCATTAATAATCGAATCATGATCGGTTAATTAAATATGCTTGTAATTTTAATTAAAATTCTCACGATTACACTGTTAAATACACTAATGTGATTAATGTTATAATATCGTTGCTGTCAAACATTGTAGGAATGCATTTCGAATAAATGAGAGGGTGTTATTAATTATTTTACTTTAATCATCACACTACAAAAATGTCTTACCGTTCTTATTAAAAAATTGTTTTTTTAATTTTCAAAAGATTTTTTTTAAATGATCAAATTGCTCAAAGTTAACACAAGTTTTTCTGATAATTATTAATTCTTTATATTTACATTATTTCGTATCGCTACGAATTCGACAACTGATCATTGCAGCATTTTTCAAACATTAATTGTAATTAAAATATTTTATTAAATTAAATCGTTTCATTTTTCATTAATTCTTAGAATCAATCAAATTCTATAAACTCTAATAAACTTACGAAAATGGTTTGTAGTTAATGTATCGATTGGTCATTATTTTTAGTCTACTTAGAAAATAATATTGGAAAATAGAACGTAGCTTTTCTTAGTTATACAACTTACTGTTAAATTCATTTAGGTACTATGTGTATCAACAAATCGAAACTTGCAATGATTTGTTGTAACAAATTCAATTAGTCATTATTCCCGATATACAAGAATTATATCTGTACATATCCTGTCGATTTTAACCAAATTTATCTATACGGCACTCACTCGTATCGCTATAGGATTTCGGTTGGTCAACACTGGCAGTATAAAACAATTAAATTTGTGCACATTCCGCCCACTGTCGAGTAACTTCGCTCGTTCGTCGAACTCGTACCTCTCATTCTATATTGCCCCATATTGCTGACAAACGAATTGGCAAGTGATTGCTGTAGAATTTTGGTAGTGCTTCGGCCAACGTATTGCCGGATAACATGTGACTATTAAATCGCTACACATTCCACTTGTGTTAGCCAACATCATCGCCATCAATACGCCCATGCCGTTCACTGATATTGTCACATATTGCTGCAGTTATTTAGTCAACGTTGATGGACACAATACAATTACGTTATTAATGCGCGATATTGCTGGTGTTAATTATTCTCATAAGGTTATTATTCTGTATTGCTAAAAAAAATAATTGAAGCGGCAACTGATCAAAATTGATCACATCGATTTAATTAAAATCAACATTGCCAAACGATACGCAATGGAATTGTCGTTCAAGTTGTCCAGCATCGTCGATGCAAAACAATTGAACCGACACATATTTCGTTTGCATTAATCAACTCCCTCGTCATCTGATCGAACACATATGTATGGCTGTATATACGCAATATCTGATATCACACCTTTACTGAAATTTTATCACCTGAAGCGACTTCTTGGATGAGCAAGGTTTGACTCGACCGCGTTTTCTCTTAGTATGAGATTCTTACTGTGTATCGTCACTCCTCCCTCGGCGAGGACACTTTTACCCATCAGTGACGCCAGCGAGACCGATACACAATCCTCGACTGGCATACGACACCTTACAGCGTCTTGTATTACGTGAGCTGCACTCCCGAGGGATGAATTTTCAGATCGAGGCCAGCATCGTGGCGTTTATTTCCCGTCGGTGAAACAATTCGCGTTTGTGCCTTATCGAGTGGACGATGAAGACCGAAACGAAGGTGAGAACACAATCTCGCGAACGGCGGCCCGATTCCCCGGACGGGCGAGAACTGACCGGCCTCGCCGAGGGTAGCTACCCTTATAGATATACGACGATGGGGGGCGCGCGCATGTGCCGCACCGGCGGTGATGCCGCGCCACGCTGCGGATCTGGCCGGCGCGGCGCGCTAAAGGGGTACGTCGATGGGTCTACCAAGGGGGTGAACGAGCAGCTACCAGCAGGGGAGAAAGTCGGTCGCTCGGCTGGAAAGTGACAATGATAAGAACCCGTGCATGCCGGACGCGAGAGCGAGAAACGCATAGATTTTCCGACGCGTGCGAAAATGTTGTGATCGACATATCATGCGAATTTATTCCGCGCGAATATTATCTTTAACTGTGCAAAATTGACAATTGATGGAAAATCGATTGAATTAATTAGACACTGAATGAAATTGAAAATTTACTTGTGCACGTTGAATATAAAATTGTTACCTTATGTGCATACAAAATCTTTAGAAAATCTCGTAGAACTTTAGAATTGTTTACTTGTTGCTATTTCTTTAGAATATTATCTTTGTGAAAAATATAAATTACATGTATACAACAAACATAATTTATTATTTTAAAAGAGCAGTGTATAATGCTGGCTTTTAAATATGCATATATACATGACCTGACTGCAAAGTTATTGCAGTATATATCTAATATCTATGGCGAAACAACGTCGTGCTAGTTTCGACTTGCAGATAAGCTACATAACTTTGAAGCGATATATTTTGTATTTTAACATCTTTTGCATAAATTAAAAAAAATAAATTATTAAAACATAACCATATAAGGTTTACAAGATTGGAAACGTTAGCTTAAGGTATTAGACATGAAGAAACCGACTTCATTTTGAAATTAATAACAGGATACTGTTTACAATTTTTATCACAGCTAATAAGTTATACAAAATTAGTATTTATACAAAGTATGGAAAATAAGGATAATGTATGAAATCCGTGGCGCTTTTATAAGTGTAAAGCTGCATGTTTCTTTGCACAATACCGTTCCCAGAGGAGTTTTGCAACAGGAGTTGTTGTAAAACTCTTCTGGAATTACCGATTATCCTTTTTCGCCGAAATATCATATTGCGTTCTCGTTGTAGGTAGTAGTTAACAAAACGAAACCGCGAAAACCACGAAAAAAACCCCGCACGCTCAGCGGATCAAAGAAAAGCGAGTAACCGAAGTGGCGTGCGGAAACGAAGTTTTTAATTTACGTCGCCGAAGTAATATGTCGACGACGACGTAAACGCGTGAAACGTGGAATTCGGTGGGAAATATTCTCCCGAGCAGTTCTCATTTCACCCCGTGTTCAAATATGTGCCCGACTACTATGCGTCCCGCGAGCGCATACTTCGAGTCGCACTACTCGTGCCGCTAAAACTCCCGTAATTGCAAGAATCCTTCAGCGACTTCCCGTCGCGTTTTTCTCCTCCTTTCCCTTTGCTCTCACCGGTTTTTATTGCCTGAGCGGTTAGCAAACTCGTGCGAAAATGTTCACGCGCTGCGAACTATCCTAAATCGCAACTTGGCGACACTTTCCCAGAAAATTGGAAGAGTTCTCGACGAAATACAATAACAGCATAATATTGATTTATCTATTAATTCACTGTATTGTACAAATCTTTATTTTACAAAAGCAGCCATTACGTTTATTTATTTGACATTTTTATTTGACTTTATTTCTGTTTTTGAAAAATATTGTGTTTGACTTGTGTCGAGTATTTTTCTGCACACGCACTCTTGATCTGTCTAACTTTTAACAATGCTATTTATGTTTGATATCATCTAGTTCTTTTTCCAAATTCATAATTTACTTGTATAAAGATAGAGAAAGAGGCAGAGACAGAGGGAGGAAGATAGAGAGGGGGGAGGGAGGAGAGAGAGAGAAAAATGTAAATACCTATGCGAATGCAATTCCGAAGCTGCTCGTGAATATTATGCTCGTTTTCTGCTTTTTTCGCGACTTGCTGACGAAACCGTCACGTACTCGCGTGCGTTCGCAATTTGCTCGCATGTTCAGCGTCGATAAGCGTTATCGGGAGTGTTCCGGCTCATTCGACGCGCGACCAATTACTTTTACCCTGGGCACTTAGCGGAGACAATGGGGGGGCACGTCGAAGACGGAAAATCAAGTGGCGGGAAAACGGCGAAGCATGTCACGTTTACCGTACAAATGTCGCGCGCAATCGTCCGTGAAGATAACGAGATCGTTAATTAGCGGTCGTGAAAGACGGCGTGAAAGGATTCACGGACGGAGTGAAATAAAAAGATTTTGTCCGCAAAAAGAACGTATAGTGTGTGAAACGATTTTTTTATTTTTTTTTATTTTAGAATTTTGCTCAAATCTTTTTCTTTTCCCCTTTTCTTTTTAAAATAAAAAACAGAAACACTGTTAATCGGACAGCTATACGACAAAATTATGAAACTATATTAGATTCTCGAGAAGTATAAATTTTATTTCTTGATTCCTGAATAAGTCAGACTTGACTTGTTATGTTCATTATGAAAATTACATTTGAGATTAATAATAAATAGTTTTGTTGTTACGGTTGGAGGAATTTAATTTAATTTATAATTAAATAATATATTTAAAGTGCCCTCGAGGTACTTTGAATGCAAAATGTAATTTTAAACAATTAGCATGTGGAGTTTAACGAATAAATAATGAATTTGTGAATAAATTTATAACTAGATTTATTGTTTATTTACTATGAAAAGTTATTGAATTACACTATGATTGAATTATATTATAAACTACCGATTATGTCGATATTTTCATGTTCTGGTAATATAATTTATTCACATTACTTTATTGAATTGTACTATCTATTATTTACGAAGAAAATCAGAGAAGAAGTTAAAATTAAGATATATTTTTGTTCTTCCGATATTTTCTGCCAATTTGCGCCTAAATCATACATAAACCAATAAAGGAAAAAACAAACTGAAGAAAGTAAAGATAATTAATTATAAGATTCAAGAAGTCAGAAAAATGACGGTAAATTTGACTCACAGTTGTTTATAGCGATAATGAAATCTTTATTTAACATGTGAAATATAGTAAGAAAATGTTATGAATATAAAAAAAAAAGAATGAAAAATGTCACTTTATCTTTCGTTATGAGTTTATTAAACTAGACGGCTTCAAATTCAGCATTAATTTATGATTTGAATGTCAATGTTTATTTATTCTTGTATTGTTGAGCTTTTTTGATAAAGATTTTACTTATATGTTTTACGGTATTTAATTTTTTGATTATCCGCTTACGCAATTTACGTGTATATAATTATGTAGCAAAATATCCTTTTAACGAGAATTACATACGTAAACTGGTAAATTGGTTAAATTACTAAAATGATATTAAAATTACTAAATTATATTATAAAAGTTACTAAAATGTACATTAAAATTGTTAAAATTAGACAATTTTACAATTCTTGAAAAAATTATTTAAAAAAAAACCATTACACGATATACTGTAGATATTAATAAGGAATAACAAGTATAGTATTTTTTGCACATTTATTATTGGAATCAAGTAATACAATATATAAAATGATATACGTATTACGATTCGATAATAGAATTGAAACTTATGTGATCACAATCGTCATGATATCGAAAACGCATCGACGTACTTCGTAAAAGCTCGTCAACTCAATGGTAATGAATAGAGGAGCTATAGCGTCGTTACGCGAAGTTTTAACAGGACGAAAGCGCCGTAATAACATAGTCACGAGCGCATGTACTTGTCGATAAAACCGCGTACAAATAGGAGATAAAAGAATATTTAATCAGCGCGCATGAAGTGGTGCGGAGATAGGTAACAAAAAGTAGAATCGTCCCCCAAATGGGAAGAGGTCTCTCGAGTACGAGATAGAGAGAACAGATAAACGCGCGGTTAATTAGTATGCAAAGTTTGGGAATACCGTAGCCGAGTTAACAGGGAAAGCATCGCCGCCGACGGTGTTACGTGAAGACTTGTGCAAATAAATTGCGGAGAGATTATTATGTCACGATTTGCGCGATGCGATGAATGAAGCGTGAAGCGTAAGTGATATATAGTCAACGTAATTTAAAAAATCTGTCATGCGACGCCTGTAGACGGAGACTTATATGTATGAGAATTTGAATAATGGAATGTGATAGCTGAGTATACAGAAATAACAAAACAGGAGACACGGTATATAATGTCTTGGGTTTCAAGTTAGATTAATTTCCGAGACCAAGTCATGTATCTATACGCGAGTACTTAAAATAACAGTACGATAATATATTATGATAACGTGCTGATAACATGAAGTTTTATTGATAACATGCACAAAACAATGCACATTTCAATACGTATTCTTTTATATATAATAGTTAATTTCTTTTTATCAAAATGTGTGTGTGAATGTTTTATTCAGAAAAAAAGTTAGAAACGTGATTGAAATATTTATATAATTTTCCAAACATGTTTTTTTTTATATGAATTTACTTAATATTGGATGTTTCACGTAATGGTGTAACTTCATCAAAATATTTATCAGCTTCGAATTGATGCTTCAGAAGCCTATTATTACTTAGTCATTTGATAAAGCGTCGAACGCGAGATGATGCTTCCTCTTTGAAAGAGATAAGGACCGATTGAGGAGAAGCGAAGAGATGGACACTAAGTGGATGAGGGAGTATTTGAACGGGCAATATCTCGACTGGTGAAATCTCGACGAAACAAGGATACTGATCTTGCATCGAAGTTTCGGCAAATCTGGGACAATCGAGAAAGAGAGAGAGGAGAGGGGGACAGAG